TCAACCTCTACAAGTCGCTTTGATTTTTCAACCCTTACACAAGGATATGTTTAGAGAGAGAGAAACATTGATCAGTTGCCTCCCCTACACGCCCCAATAGGGGATCGAACCCACAACCTAGGTATGTGCCCTGACCCGGAATTGAACCCACAACCTTTTGGTGTACAGGACGGTGCTCCAACCGAGTCCCCGGGCCAGGGAGAGTCACTCTGTTTTAAATATGTCTCTTGTCTCAGCTTATCGTTGGCTTTTCAATTTATAATTATTTTTAAAATTAGGACATTTAGCCCACTTACAGTGAACATGCTAGATACGACTGATCGCCACTTGCTTCCCCTGTGACAAATGTCTGGGCTTTTACACGTGGCTTCTGAAGGCAAAGAACCGGTTACAGAAGAGACACACTCCGGCAGGGATTTGAAACGGGCGCGTGGTCAAGATACCACATCGGCAGCGTTTAATGTTTAATACTCCCTGGGAGACATCACGTTTGGTATTCTGAATATTGGAAAGACCATTCTCATTTATTTACACTTACATGGTAGATTCCTTAGAACGAAAACCATTAAAAACAATTACTCTCCCCTCCCTCCCTTTTTCCTCCCAGTGTCTAAAGGAGCACAAAGCCAGCCAGGGTGGAGGGCGCCGAGGCTCCCCCCACGCCAGCTGGCACCCCCCATTCCTCAGCGGTGGCTGCTGAGCAGCTGGCCCTCGTTGAAATGAGAGCTCAAGCACATGACACCGGGGACTCCCTCTGCTGCCCAAAGCCATGGGAAAAACCTGCTCCGGCTCTGCGGTCCCACAACTCAAGCTGCCAAAAGGCAGAAAGGAGTCATGAGAAAATCAGCTCCCTATCTCAGGCCTTCTGGCCCTTGGTCCTAAACGGGGGAAGGTGATAGGGGAGCTGTGTCACCTGTCCTTGAACTCGCTATCACGGTCCCTGCTTCACTTCCTTCCCCCCTGTGCTTTCTAAGCCCCACACTTAGACGGAGGGGGCGGGAATATGGGGGAGGCTGCTGCCAGGAAAGGCTGAGGGGGATGGAAAAGCAGCTGCTCCTCCGCAGGCTCTTGGCGGGCTAATGGACTCCCCAGCTGAACTTCCAGGCACCCGGGGTGGAAAAACACGTCGCCTCTCCTTCCACTGACGCTGACGCCGGTTCCAGCCACCCCGAGCCGGCAAGGGCCCGAGGCTGTGCTCTCTCAGCCTCGAAGGCCAGCTGGGGGTGCGCCGCACAGCCCACTGAGGCAGGGAGCCTCGGGAAGTCCGTGATTCGGGTTTTAGTTTTTCAAAAGCCCTTCCCTGAGCCCCAAGATGTGTAATTTGATGAGCAGAATATGGGATTTGAAGTCAGGCAGGCTGGGATTTAAGAACTGCCTCTGCCCATGAGTAGCTGCGTGACCTCGAATAGTGCTCTTAAGACTGAAGTAGGCCCTGGCTGGTGTGGCTCAGTGGTTAGAGCGTCGGCCTGCAGACCGAAGCGCCGTGGATTCAATTCCCGGTCAAGGGCAGGTACCTGGGTTGCAAGTTCCTTGCAGGCCCCAGTCAGGGCACGTGCAGGAGGCAACCGATCGGTGTGTCTCTCTCTCTCTTCCTCTCCCCTCCTTTCTACTCTCTCTAAAAACCAACGGAAAAAACACCATTGTGTTAGTCAGGGTTCTGCAGAGAGACAGAACCAATGGGATGTGTGAGTGCGCGTGTGCACACACACACACACACACACACACACACACACGAGAGAGACTGATTGATTTGAAGGAATTGGCTCGTGCACTTGTGGAGGCCTCACTAATCCAAACTCTGATGGGGAAGGACAGCAGCCTGGGGACTCAGGAAGGAGTCACAGCTCAAGGGCGAAGTCTGTCCTCTGAGATGAGGCACCCACTCCCTCCATATACACACCCATGGGGGGGAGGGGGCGTGTGCATCAGAAGAAAAAAAAGTTGAAAACTACAGTTTCATATTCATAAATAATGCTACACACATTTTGAAGGGTGATCGTAAAAATAACTCTAAACTCACTCAAATTCATTTTTAAAAAACAAGTCATCCCTTTCGGTCCTTTATTATTAGTAACAAATTACTGATGACACATTTCACAGCTAATTGGACCCACCAGAGCGTGCGAAGAGCAAGGTTGAAAACTGCTGCACTGATGCCTCCTCTGGCCAGAAGGGCCCCAGAAGGCGCAGACTGCGGCTCAGTCATTTCAGGAGCCCGGCCCTGTGCTTCGGTCTTGGGAGGAGCTTATCATCTGTGAGTGGCACTGACCTGGGCCGCGGGTTCGGTGAGACTCGCTCCCCGAGGAGCAGAGAGGGCGTGCGGAGGAATTGGGCGGTTGAAAACCCGCACTCACTGTACCCCCTGAGGGCATGGAGGCCTGTAAGCAGACACTCTAGATAATAGATAGTGGAGAAGAGGCCCATCCCCACCCTTCAAAGAGGGTGCATGGGAGACAAGACCGACAAATATGTAATCAGCATAAACACGAAGAGAAAAAGACAGTAATTCCAAGAGTGTGTCGAGGGGGAAGAATGAATGGGTAAGGTGGGAGAAACGAACCACAAGATCACCGGTGAGATAACAGACTGCTGGTTGTGTCTCTGGTTGACCCAGTGATTAGTACCCAGAGAAGAAAATCCCAGGAAGCAGCCTGGAATGGGCCTCAAAGTGCACGTTCTCCATGGTGAGGGGCCCAGCAGAGTCCTGCTCTGGACTCCTGGAAGCCCAGTTTGGAGTGTGGGGCTGTGGGTGTCCACCCAGTCCACTGTGCAAGGTGACCTGTCCTGTCTGGGCACATGGGTCAGTCTCTTGCTCTACAGTTCTTTCCAGACTATGTTGGTGGTTACCTACTATCCTTGGAAGGGAAGACAGCTCTACATGGGATATATTTTAGCTGGGATGACGGTGCACTTTTTGATCTCCTCGCTCCCACCAGTATCAATGGAGAAACCATTGTGTGGAATGTGGAGACCCAGCTGGACTGTCCCCGCCTCAGAAAGTCACTGTGTGTCCCTCTCAGAGGGAGATGTGCAATGACAAAGGAGGCTTAGAGGAGACCGTGCTGGCTTCCCTCCAAGCTACGTTAATTGGTGATTAGGTGGAAAAAGAACCTTTCTGCTGATAGACTGTCTTCCCCATAACCATTTCTACTCACTATTTTTACATAAATTTCAGAAGATATCATTTCATATGAAAGTTCTTATTAACTTCTTCCTACAATGTCACCTTAATGGACTGGGGACATCAGCAGGCTTCCCTTCCTATATTTGACTATCCCAAGAATCATCAGATTATACAACTTGGCAATGTTTTGGAGTGACCCCCCCCAAAAAAAAACCTGGAAAATTTTATCTTAAAGAATTAAACCATTCCCTTGAGCAGCTTTACAAGTAGTGCCGACCTGCCTAGAAAAAGCATGCCCGGCATATTTTCCCCTAAGGTTCCAGGGTTGCTGTTTCTAAAATAATTTCACCAGCTAATTATACTTGGTTGGCATACACTTGTAAGCTCATATTTTCTATATTGTGCTCTACTGTTTTTATGAACATCAGTACTATTGACTGAATGGTTGTGTTCCCCCTAAATTCCCATGTTGGTCGTCTTCTACAAATAGATATTTTTAAGGAGAAGAGAAATTTTAGTTTAAGGGTCTCTCTGTGTCTCTCACACACACATTCTAGAACATACCCGGAGCTCAGGTGCGCTTACCTGGGGGGGAAATGACGTCATCAGAGTTGAGTCTCTTGGTAGGACTATCACAGAAATAGAATATTTAACTCCCAAAAGTGTAGAGGGAAAGAATAAGTATATTAAAGAAAATTTATTTCACTAAAGGAATAGTGGGGAAGGGGGCAGCAAAGAAAAAGTATAATAAATAGAAAAAATAATATGGCAGACATTAGTTCCAAATAGATCTTAGTTGGAATGAAGATACATAGCTTATTAGAAAAATACTGATCAAAATTAAGGTGTTCTAATCTCATAAATGTCAAATAGAACAGTCTTTAAAGGAAATAATATTACTTAGAGACATGGAAGGTTATCACATAATATACCAGAAAGGCATATGAAACTAGAGACAACAAATATCAGCAACAAAGCCTCAAAATCTTAGGTTGAATCTTAGGAAATTGTCAATATTTGATTGACCTACAAAAGCAATAATTTCATATAAAGTAAGAGCCAATCAAATTATGAAAAATTAAATTTCTTAAAGTGTTTTTTTAACATGCATCTGTTACAGATTGATTGATCAAGTGGCCAAATAATTAATAATGATGTTCGATATTTGAGCAGCATGATTAAGACACTTTTTAAAATCCACAGATTTAGAATTTTATCTCAGCTCTTAAATAATCTGCATTCTTTTCAAGTTTTCAGGAAACATTTCAAAAAAAGAGCACATGCTAGGCCATAAAGGACATCTCAATAAATACCAAAGAATTGATAAAACATACAGACTATATTCTTTGACCCCAAATACAATAAAATGAGAACTTAGCCCTCCTCCCCCAAAAAATAGCCCAAAATACTTTTGTATATTTGGAAACTAAAAATGGTTCTAAATCATTCATAAGTCAAAGGAGAAATCATGATAGAAATTAGAAAAAATGTCAACCTGGTTTATCATGATCCGATTTGCCCCATATTGTTCAGCCAGTGTAATTTAACAGCTGGTGGTGCCAGTCAAGCTAATATTGTGGACATCAGGGACAAAAAAAAACAAAACTGGTTTTCAGTGGGGAAAAACTATAAAGTCTTAATTCCTTATTTCACCTATTTGTCCATAGATTTTGTGTCTGGGTGTTCTCCAGCATTTCCTGCATTTTACTCCCCAGGGCCCATCGAGGAGGAGCCCCTGTCCTCACCGTGGAAAAGCCCACAGGCGCGTGACCACCAGTGTTGAATGCAGTTCATGTGGCCCTAAGGCCGTCACCATCCAAGGCTCTTCTGGAGACACCTGCACACAGTGGACTGCTGAGGGGACAGCCCTGGGAGCATGCGGAGAGACGACCGGATGGCCTCTCACAATACCAGCCGCCTTCACTTCCCACGGTAGGTTTCGCCACCCGTAAGGCCGCACAGAGGCCAACCCCGGCGGGCGTCCTGGAGGCCAGGCGGCTCGCTGCCCACGGATGCGGGATGCGGGCGGGTGCACGCTGCCTCCTTAGGGGCCCAGTCGGTGGACCGAGCAGCCGATCAGATGGCACCTGCTTCCCAATCCGGGAACCCACGTGTGAGCAGGGACACTGCTCACTTCACTGCTCACTCACCAGGCCAAGCAAACCCTTCCCTACCCGCCACACGCGGCAGAACACGGAGCGGGGGACCAGCAGCGGCAGGCAAGCTAAGGTCCCTCCTCTAGGCCTGGGGAGAGACCCAGGAACCCGCCTGCAGCCCCCTCCGGGGCATCGCAACGCTGGCTCCGGAGCAGCCTGGAGCCCGACGCGGGGTCTGGTCCCACAGAGAGGAAGGAGAGGAGGGGTGAGTCCTGGCTTTGTAACGGGCAAAGGCTACCAGGTAGGAGGAAAGGGCAGAGTCCCGTCACCACCGCGCAACCGGAACGCCGTCCCAGGCTGTCCCGTTTCACTCCCTGGACGGTCTCCCGAGTAAGCAACCCCTGAAGCCATATGACAATGTCAGGTCATCAGCTCATCTCCCTTTTCCTCTGTGTGACCTGGGACAAGCTCTGAGTGTCAGCAGCACACTCTTTGTGGGTGAGAGGCTTGGGCCAATCTGTCACCAGGATTTAATAACGTGGATAAGTAAACTATTTTTTAAAAAGGTGCACGCCCTTGCCATAGCGTAGAGGGTCATGCTAAGGATTCACACGTCATGTCCCTTCATCCCCACAGCAGCCGTGCAGTTTACGTCTCACCACGACCCACACTTTCAGATGAAGTCACCGGGTTCCCAGACGGCAAGTCCCAGGCCCAAAGCCACAAAATAGAAAAACAACAATAACAACAACAAATAGCAGAGCCAAGGTCTCAGCTCAAACTGCAAAACGTCAGCCTTTTCTATCCAAAGTCGACCTCTCCCCCTGTGCAGCCCTGAGATTCTAGGCACTCAGACCAGAAGCCCACGGGACCATCTATCCTTCCAAGTCAGTTACCGGTGACAACCTCGAGATAATGCATTTTGCATCGCAAGCTGTTCACCCACCACCCAAATATTATGCTTCCTAAAAGCACCCTGGACACCGGTAGAACACCAAACAGAGAGAGAGATAAGCAAAGTAAAGAGAGGAGCGTGCTCGGGGCCCAGGCGGCTGCAGGAAAATAGCAGCAAGTGCTGAGAGGGGACTAGCAGCGGCGCCGCTGGGCACAGGCTAAGAGGCGTCTCGGTTCATGTTTTTTTCATATCTGATTTACGGAAAAGTGTCATTTCTAGAGTGGCTTTTTAAAAAATGGGTTCCCCTGGCTGAAACGCAAAGGACAGTGATAAATAAGCAGATGGCATCACCCCTGAGGCACGCCTTGCGAGTCCCAAGTGCCGCCTTCTCTCTCTGCGTCGTAATTCTTGTCCTTTCCAGAACTTTCCGCCATCCCTGTCATCACGAGCGGCTCTCAGACTCCCTGCACCCGTAACTCATGGCAATTTTGTTCCCATGTAGGACTCAAGTCTGGCTGGACCAGACATTGCGAAGGAGAGAAACCCATGGTTACGTGTTTCCATAGGCGATGTCATTTGCTTGGCTCTTTGCCAGCCCTTGAGTCATCTCTCATTCCCAGCTCATCTCTAGCTCCATCTCATGTTCCTCCAAATGTTTCTATCACGATCTAAAGTTCAAACAATAAGTTAAAAGTGAGCCTATTCCGTATCGCCCGGGGCGGGACGTCTTTGTTTCTGCACTGGGCTCAGGGGCCGTGTCCCCGATTGACAAGTTCCAAGCGGGCTCTGGTTTCCCACCTTCCCACACAACAGCCGTGCCTCCCCCCAGAGCCCCCCTCTCTGTAAGTAGCACCATCATCCACCCTATCGCTCAGGTCAAACCCCAGCAGGTCTCTCGGGTCTTCCTTTCCCTTGTCCCCTCTAGCGGGCGCATCAGCAGGCCCTGCGGAGCCTGCCTCAGAAATCCCTGGACCCCACCCTCCTCCCTCCATCTCCAGTAATGCCACCCCGATGCCGATGGTGCCCGGGCAAGGGGGCAAGGGGGCAAGG